GGGGGGGGGCGGAGAACCTCTTTTGTCATTGTGTATGAGTTTCAGTAAGAAGAAAAAGTCGCCGGCTTCTTTTAACTTCTTTTTTTTTGGGGGGGGAGGGGGGGCCAGGAAATGAAAAATCGCCAGCAGGGGGCATTAAAAGTCTTCTCGTAATTCGGTCCTTCTCCACACGAAGAGTCTAGTACTATGTAATCCATAAATAAGGAGAACTTTAATTAACACGAAAGAAGAGAAGAGAGAACAACAAACAACAACAGGAAAACAAAACTGACGACGACAAAGAAGAAGAAAGCCGGAGGAGGAGGAGGAGAAGGACAACGCAGGGGGAGGAGAAGGAGAACGCAGGAGGAGCAGGAGAAGAAGAGAGCAGGAGACAGGAGGCGGAGGAGAAGAAGAAGAAGAAGAACAAGAAGAAGAAGAACAAGAAGAAGAAGAACAAGAAGAAGAAGAAGAAGAAGAAGAAGAAGAAGAAGAATAGTGAAAACAGTGGCCATAGACTGCTTCTCGTACAAGCATGGCCATAGATTTACACTACTTTTCCGCATGTACTGTTTCCCAGGATGAAACGCGCATTGCCCTCCCCCGGCACTCATCAGGGGGATTCTCCCGAAATCGCCTTGCGGCAGACCTTGGGTTTCTCGAGGATAGATCTGCCGGGGATGATTCCAATCCCGGTAATACGCATTTTTTACCGTCGATTGCTATGATGAATGGTCAGAAACGCCTAACTAAGTCCTGCAGATAAAAACCGTGGCCCCGCTGTCAATCAAAAGGCTGCGGCGTCATTATGTGTTCAACTGGGAATAATGCGCTAAATTAAATTCGAAAAGAGAAAAAAGACGTTTAGCTTCGACTGGGGGGGAACCCGGGGGGGGCGGGGGGGAGGGGGGGATGAACGGACTGATTTGGCTTCACCTGAAGGCCGATCCGTGATCCCCTTCCCCCCAACAAAACTTGATCTTTAGCTTCGACTGGAGTGAATCACTGAGGGCGGGGGGGNTTTAGCTTCGACTGGAGTGAATCACTGAGGGCGGGGGGGAGGGGGGGATGAACGGACTGATTTGGCTTCACCTGAAGGCCGATCCGTGATCCCCTTCCCCCCAAAAAAACTTGATCTTTCCATTACCGGAACAATCCAGTCCGGATTTATTGCCTATTTGTATTCCTGGTTACTGAATCCGATTAGAAATCGCGCCCGGCTTTGACGCAGACGGTCCAAAAAAAAAAAAAAAACAGATGAAATTGATGAAGTGAATATTGACACACACACACACACACACACACACACACACACACACACACACACAGCCTGCTAAGTTTGCCGGGATAGTGTGAGCGAAGTCTAACACTTTTCTCTCTCTCTAAAGTGGGTCTCGCTAAATCTGGGCGACATGGTAGAGTCCTTATCCATGAGGCAGTCAAATGCACACCCTGGGCACACTGCTGGGATTCAACCTTCTCCTGATCAGTCGGTGAAAGTCCGACGAAACAGTCCGGCACAGCCATGCTTTTTGGGGTGGAGTTGCCCATTCCAAACATAACAACACACAAAAAAAAAAGCACACCCAGACACACACACGTGTCACGCACAGGTTGAAAGTCCGACGAAACCGTCTGGCACGGTCATGCTTTCTTTTGTGGAGTTGGGTCTAGCGAACACGACAACACACACCGTCCTGATGAGTGGGTAAGAGTCCGACGAAAACGTCGGGCACAGTCGTACTTATTTGTGTAGTTGTGTGCAGCCAAAATGACACCACACACTCACAAAATAATAAGAATAATGATAACAACAACAACAACAACAACAACAAAAAGAAAAAACATAAACGAGGAAGATCGACACACGATAGGTAACGAAAAAGAAAACCCCCACTAGAATCTGGACGTGTTTGTGGAGAGGTGCCGTTGAGGAAACTCGACGAGATTTTCTGCACATCTCCACAAACACGTCCAGATTAGGGCGTTGAGGCAACTTAACGCTGCTACCAGTGGGACGAGCATGAGGAAACTCGACGCTGCTACCGTTGTGGGACTCAGCACCGGGAAGGGGCGGGGTTTGGGGGGGGGGGGGAAAGACACAGGAATTCAAAACAAAAACCGGAAGTATTGGAGGTGATTCAACATCGTCTGCCGGTGGGTTAGACGATCACGATCAATGATTGGTGGGGAGGGAGGACAAGCAGCAGGGACAGTCGATCGCGAGAGTGGAAGAACTTACGCTGGGTCTGGCCCTGAACACGGGATTGCGTGAGCAGGAGAAGAAGCAAGAGCAGCAGCGACATAGCCAAGTGTCGCGTGCCGAAACAGCTACCAATAGAGAAGACAAAGAGTCGGGACGTGTCAGCTCCCTCCATCTTCGCCGCCATCGCCAACGAAAAACAGGCAAAGGTACCCCAGAAGGTCACCAAGCGCGACTCGGAAAATGCCGAACTGAACGAAAGCAACACAAACAGGAGGATCGCTCTGTCGCTCTCCCTAGCACCCTCGCCCAGGCGTCCGGGCCTCACGCCCCTCGTACACCTGTCCACCTTTCTGGCCTTCCAACCGCTGTCTCTCTCTAGTGCCCACGCGTCAAAGCGTCAAGGCGTCAAGGCGTCAAGGAGGGCGTCAAGGTGTCGCGCGGTCACACTCGCCCCCCTAGCATTCTGTCGTTGCCACTGACAGCGGCACCCGCCCAGATTCTCTAGCACATAGTCAAGTGCGCACCCGCACGTCGCACAGTCTGGTCGCCCACCTTTCTTTGCCGCCTCTGCGCTGGGTTCCGGCCTCGTTCCTCTTGGGGGCGCTTCGTCAGCCACCAGCGTTCCCTCCCGTCTGAGCTGTACGGAGGCACTGGCGGTGCGAGTTTTCAGACGCCATTAGACGATGAATGACAGCATACTCAGGGCATCGGCACACCACTCCCGAAACCTGCAAAATGAGAATGGACTTCCCCCTAGAACATGGCCAGATGCAACTGCCACATTTTTGTCTTTTTCAGATTTTCGAGAGTGGTGTGGTGCGGTGAGGCCCTCACAATAGCACTTTTCTAAATGTATCTGACGTCAATTACACTCGAACACGGACGAATCTGACCGCAGTGGCGTCCAGAGATGACGAGTCTCGAAAAACACACACGTCGACAAGTAGCCGGAGACTGACCGCACTTACCTACGTCGAATCTTGATTTCTGGCCGACGATCTTTGTGATCTACGGTCGGTAATCGAGCATTCGGGTAAATGGCGCTTGGCCCCCAACGGCAAGTCGCCGACTTTTCAATGACCTTCTCTGTATGGAGATGAGCCCTTGTCTTCGCAGCGCCATTTCAGCAATGGAAAACAATAAAAAATAAAAAATAAACGAAAAAATAAGAAACATTTGCAAAATGCCCCTGATTTTTCCGTTTATTTGCGATTTGCCTTCGTATGGCCGACTTTCTGATTTGTCCCTCTGACAACGACTCAAGTTTCTAGAAAACCCCTTTTCAATGACCTTCTCTGTATGGAGATGAGCCCTTGTCAATGCTTTCGCGGGGCCCTTTCAGCAATTCAAAAACAAAAACAAAAACAAAAAAAACAAAAAAAAAACATAAAGGAAATTGCAAAATGCCCCTGAATTTTCCGTTTATTTGCGATTTGCCTTCGTACGGCCTACTTGTCCTGATTTGTCCTTCTGACAACGACTCAAGTTTCTAGAAAACCCCTAGCGTCAACTAGGCCTGAAATATGTTCAATATGCCCCTACCGGTACTTTCGCCAAATTTTCAGAATCCCCCTACCTGTTGAAGTTTGACAACAGTCGTCAGAACAGGCCACAATATGCAACAAAACACAACGTCAACACCGACTGTGGACAAAGGAGGAAGAGGAGGAGAAGAAGAAAAATAGAAGAAGGAGAAGAAGAAGAAAAAAAAGAAGAAGAAGAAGAAGAAGAAGAGGAAGAAGAGCAAGGCGAAGAAGAAGAAGAAGAAAAAAGAAAAAAAAAAAAAAAAGAGGTAAAGGAGAAGGAATACGCCAGTTTGAAAAAAAATCCCCGAGCGCGACTGTTTTATTTTTAAATAATAACATGAAGCTCACAGCGGCTTGACCCGACTAGTTTCGACTGCTCCGCCAAGCAGTCTTCATCAGGGGTCTTGAAAGAGTCGACGCAGGTAACTATCATTCGAAACTGTCGTAGTTATATAGGCAAAGTTAGTCTAGAAATCCTAAGAGTCAAAGTACTAGTACCAATTATGTGACTACTTCTTCAGAAAAGGACACTATATCGACTCCTGCAAACTACAACCACTTCTTTATTCGTCAACATCCGAGGTCCAACAAAAGAAAAAAAACAACAAACAAGATTCGAACCTTCAACCACTTCCCACCAAGTAACTTCATAAAACGTCCCGCCWACAAAAAAAATTACAAAAGCTTGAAGAATACGAAAAAGCAGTCCACTTTACCAAACGACATGTCCAAAAGAGATCCTAGATTTACTATTGCCACTTTGTCAAAAAATCAGAGCCGAAACTTGGTAACGTCCTTGCGAAACGCATCTTCCTAAAAAACTTGTTCAGGTACTGTGTTCGACTCCACAGTACTAGCCGGTTCCAGTCCTAACAAAGGTCCCGTAGATTATACCCCTATGACCTGTGCAATTACAATCCAGTTCCAGTCCTAACCAAGGTCCCGTAGATAATATCCCTATGACCTACGCAATTACATCCTCTTCCGAAACCACTTCTCCCAACCAGTCAGTATGGGTAACCATTGTTTCCAACAACCTCCAAATTTGTAAGAAAAGTAAACCACTGCCGAAGCAAAGTAATGATCAGGATACCCTCGCCACCACAACTCACGCTTCAAGGAGAGGAGAAAGGCCAACTCTATGCCTGGAACAAAAGTAAATGAACGTGCGTGGTGTAGGAAAGATATGATAACTGCCATCTTCTGCGTCTTGCCGGAGTAGGATACAAAATCCTGAATACTCTGGTAAACCAACCCGTCACTTCTCTGATTTTTGTGAGTACMAAAACAAGCAACTTGACCAGACGARGTGCAAATCTTAAWTAYGCAACCAATAAAATCCCACACATTACCCTCGTTGRTGCGYTCGAGAGTAAGATTCCTATCATAACAKCCTTCAAAGGACTGCARAATGGAAGAAGCCCTCAGACGAGACCGCTCATCACCACATCGATAACTAACAAAGAAGGAGACGTCATCGACAATTCAGAATCCGTGCACCAATTTTCGATCTTCACCTAACGAACTTATAAACAAAAATTATGAAAAAGCACAAAGTAAGCAGGCTAAAGCAGGGCTTAGCCAAGTGGACTTGCCCATTGGAATGCCAACTGTCTACGTTAATAGTCGCCCCTTTGCCTTAATAAAAGTATTATCCAGATMAAATGAGACATATTGAAAGATTCAAGAAAAACAAACCAGAATCCAACCATCCTCTATTTTGYCTTTGGTCAACTTCGCCATCTTCCCATACTTACGAACCATAACCCCAAAATAGTTTTCCGTATCCCAATAATCTGTAACCCATCTCATTGCTCGCAAAATTGAAWCATAGAGAAGATTGGAAAACATTTCCTTGACGTCGAAGGAGGCACCAAGAACAGTCTCTTCTTTGTCTTGCTGCATGTTCATCTTGCCAAGCCCAATCATTAAGTCGTTTGTACAATGTAAGTTGAAATGTAGATTATCCGGTAGTTTCCACAACATCTCATTAATTGCATATGCAATGCGCCTTCCACTGAGAGCAGAGCCTTCGGGATAAAATGGACAGATCGGGCGCTATCTGCCAACGTCCTTATGTTTCAGGATGCAATAGGCTTCGCCGATCTTAGCATCTGGATTCCATTTCCCGATAGAGTCAAACTTACTGAGAACAAAATTAGCCTTCACTTCCCCAATCACCACCTCTTCAAATTTGTCASCAAGTAGGAAAGAAGGATTATCGAGGAACAACTTCTTCATACCTTGCGAGTAAACAACCGGGCAGCAGACAAAAATATCACCAAGGTTGTGGTCGACTGGCGAGCAAACCAACTTCTCCAAACTTCATTTCAAATCTCCAAGCTCATCAACAGAATGAGAATCCGGAAATTCAGAGGAAAGAGTAAGGCAGCAACGTAAGTCAGAACATAAGAGGTGACTGAAATCAAGAGTACATGAAAAATGATACGTATTAAAAGAATCAACGATATGCTTTCTCAAAAACGGAAGAGGGTTATTGAGCGAAGATCGAAGCACATTCCGAGAATTGCGAATCCATGAAGGAAAGAAATCAATCTCACCAAAGCGAAAGGAGACATGTGGATCAACTCGAGGAAAACGATCCTCCGCCGTACTGCAAGTACATTGAATACCACCTTCTCTAACAACCACTCGAAAGTTATGCAATGTATCACCTACGGTTGGATTCTTGCACCAGACCACCCKCATGCGACACATCATCATCCGCTTCCATCCTCTATGAATAGGTAAGGAGTCTATCAATTGGCTGCAGACCCTTCTTATCTTAGTTTTGCACAACCGATGGTCATACTTGATCCTTATCACAAACCTTCGTCTAATAAGTAAATCGAATAAGGTCAAAATTCTTTTGGACAGAATTACCCTCAACCTGCTACGTGTTCTCTTTTCTTGAAACACACGACTTCCAGAGAAGGCCTGAATCAGTGAATCGAGACTCCATGCTGACAACTTCTTGCGACAACGAGGATCACTCCATAACAACACTAAGAAAGGTTTCAACGACAAATGTTTCTGACAAAAAGGTACGATTGAAGAGAAAGTGAGAAAAATAACCACTTCTGAGACATCCTTTGTAAGATCGTAGGTGGTCAGTTTTGGAGTTGCAACAGACCATTGATGACCCAAAGCACCTCTTCAGCAACTTCCACCGGTCTTCTCGTAACTCACCTCCACGACATAGAACAGAATAGGAGAAAATCTTCTGATCTACACAGTAGTTCAAAATACGCAATAAGCTAGTTGACAAGATTCCTACGGAAGAATGAAATTGTACCAGTGATGAAGACCCAGGGAGAGACAAACTAGAATGAAAAGGAAAAGGAACCAATACTCCAACCTTCTTCTTCTTCCGCAACCTCTCTTGTTTCCCKGGACGTCTACGTCTCGAATTCCTCTTCGTATCCTTAGTATTCAGAGATGCGSTAAACAATTTAATAAAGAATTTCTCAGTTCCCAAACGGTCTTTCTCATAACAAAAACAAATTGGAATAATAGCAAAATTTTYGATACMGAATCTTCTCGTCCACCTGTACAACYGCTCATTACGACTACCTTTTTCAACAACAGAMTTACTATGCGATCTGTAAACGTGCTCCCWCCATCTGRCATCAGTACAACGACTAGAGCTACCAACATACATATGACGACACCAGGGTGAGACAAGTGCATACACCACAGCGCCACGATTACCAAATTCTCCATCGCAACCATTCCATCAACCACCAATGTGTCCAACGATTTTAGAAG